TAGGGCGGGATATGTGGCTGGTGGATTATGTTCAGCCTGATGGACAGATAAAGAAAGGGACGTAACGCCGCCACCCCCTTCTCACGCCAAAAATGATTGCCCTCTCCCCTTTGTTCCTCACAGAAGGCTCTTCTTCTCTTTCTTTTTTTTTTTAAGCCCCCGGAGGGGATTTTTTAATTTCTTTATATATCACTACAAAAACTACAACAGAAAAGGGGGAGGGAAAACTACATTTACGGGATAAAGCAAAGAACCCAGTACTAACTAAAATCCTCCAACTAGCTTAGTCACATTCAATCTTCCCATTATTTATAACATTATAAACTGAGTCAAGCATTTAAAGTTAATACTTTTCTTTTAAGCTTAAATTTAAACTGTCTACAAACAGTACCCCCGATCATCCCGTTTCAAAGTTCACAAAGGCACAATTCAGAGTCCTTCAGCCTTTACTTCTCCTTTCCCCATCTCTTCCGCAACTTATAAGGACTTTTTGAGGCTGCTGTCCCTTGTTCTGACAGAGTCCTCTCCAGAAGAACCCGAGTCTAGCTCGCCACTAGACTTGCTGTCCTCTTCTTTTTTCCCGTCCTCTGGTCTTCCCAACTGAACAAAAGGCTCTTCTTTGTCTGCTGTATTAATTCACTCTGTGGTCACTTACTTGTCCGGTTCAAGCGGTTCTTAAGCAAAGGCCACTGCAGCCTATCACCAGGCCTCACTGGTAGTCTGGTTGCCAACCTCCAGGTGGCAGAAGCCAAAAACGAGAGATCACGGGAGGAAGTGGGATTCCAAAAACAACATCCGTGACAAAAATAACAGAGAGTCGATAAAGATAACTTGCAGAAACGTTTACTGTAGCAATCCCCTAGAAAATTATCTTCCATTATCACTCACACGCTAACGAATACAGCGTGAAGGCCTTGGGTTCTGCTATTAGAGAGTCAACATGGAACATTTCCTTCAAGAGTTGAGAAGTAGTGATTGATAAGAATTGGGATTGCGACACGCTCAGATAAAGCAAACATTGTGAAACAAATTGTTTACATTGCGCAGTCGAAGTAGGGCAGAAGCCCACGTTAGGCTGAAGGCAGCAGGTATAAACAGAAGAAGCGGCTGATGAGAGCCGAGGTCCACAGCGACGAAAGCTGGTAGGCCAAGACCAGAGCAGGATTTATGGACAAGCTGTGTAAACCATAGGACCTCCAGTTATTTGGGGCCTCTAAAGTTTTGAAAGCCCACTAAATTGCGGTTTTTGTAAAGCTAAAGAGCCTAGTCTAGGGCCTCGGCAAGTCTTAATGAGGCCTTAGCCAAGACACCATCTTTTATGTCTGAACCATTTTCAGGGACTGAGAAAGAACTGGAGTTCCTGGACTGGCCATTTTTGAATGTGCTGTAAGCTTCCAGGATAAGTCTCTGGGATGGTGAGAAGAAACAGAGAAGAAACCCAGCTCTGGGTTGGGAAATACCTGGAGATTTTGGAGATGCAACTTGGGGCAGGTGTAGTTTTGCCAAGTCCTTACCTCCTGCCAGCGGGGGGCTCCATGCTTCTTCCTGGGATTTCCCTGTGCCCGCACAAAGCGTGCGTGTCGCAATGACATCACCTGGAAGTGACATCATTGTACCGTGCATGTCGTGCAGGGGACGTTCTAGCATTTGGCCAAAAACTCTAGGGTCACCATGGGGGGGGGGTTAGCCAAACGCTAGAGCGTCCCCTGCACAACATGCCCAGCACAATGATGTCACCTCCAGATGATGTCGTCACGATGGGCACGGCGGGCACGGCAGGGTTCTTTGAGGGTGGGGCTCCCAGATTGTGGGCCCCAAAATCAGGGGGAAACCCACCCCCATCGGGGGGATGGCAACCCTAGGCAGGTGGGGTTTGGGAGGGGTGGGACCTCAGCCGTGTAAGATGCCATAGAGCCCACCTAGGGTTGCCAGCTCTAGGTTTGGAAATACCTGGAGATTTTGGGGGTGGAAGGCGGGGTTTGGGGAGGGGAGGGACTTCAACGGGGCATAATGCCATAGAGTCCACCTTCCAAAGCGGCCATTTCCTCCAGGTGAAATTGATCTCTCTCACCTGGAGATCAGTTGTCATAGCAAAAGATCTCAAGCCAAAACCTGGAGGTTGGCAACGATAAGCCCACCTTCCCCGCGGTCATTTTCTCCAGGGGAGCTAGGGCTGTCAGGCAGTGCCTGGCAGGTGGTGGGTGGGTTTGGGGGGCAACGTTGCAGGAGATTTATTTATTTATTTTGTAAAAAAAAAAGCAGCCTTGTTTACTTACCAGAAGATCCGACTAGAAGGAACAAAGAGTAGCTCTAGGAATCACTGGTCTATGGTAAGACCATAGAGTAAAACCATGGAGTTCCCAACAATTCCTAGAGCTAGTTATTTATTATTTAAAACATTTTCATGTCCTCTTTCCATCTTAAGCAGATCTCCAAGTTGGCGAAAGCTACCCTTTGCCAACCCAGGTAAGAATTTCTGGTAGGTACACAAGACTGCTTTTGTATCTTATTTTTTCACTCGCTGCCACTCAGGGCCATGGTAGGCACCAGGACTTGCGGGCGAGGGATCCCCTGTCCCCACCACAGTCTTAGCAGCCCTAAGAGGAACGGACCTCTGTTGTCTGGAGACCTGTTGTGATTCCGGGAGATCTCCAGGCCCCACCTGGAGGTTGATCAATTCTGCACGCACACGAAAGCTTATACCCAGAATTAAACTGTGCTGGTCCTAAAGGTGCCACTGACTGAACTCAGGCTTTGTTGCTTCAGCTCCTGGCAATGCTCCCTCTAAGCCGTGGAGTCTTGTGAGCAAAAATTCTACTTTCGGAGCTCCTACCATTAAAGTGGTGAGGAAGCAGTTTGGCTGCTGCATACATTAGTTTGCTCTGGAGCCATCCTTCCTGGGCGAAGACAAAAATGAACTGTGAGCTAGCTCACACTAATTCAGCTAAGAGGGAACACTGGCTCCTGGTAATATTGCTAAAAGGGAGAGCATTCGGGCTGCCAACCTCCAGATAGTGGCTGGAGCCTCCACCCCATCCAGAGCCCGGCGCTCTAGGCGAATGCCTAGTTCGCCTAGTGGGGGAGCCGGCCCTGGCTGGAGATCTGCAGGTATTACAACTGATCTCCAGACAACAGAGATCAGTTCACTTGGAGAAAATGGCTGCTTTGGAAGGTGGACTCTACAGCATTATACCCCACTTGAGTCCCTCTGTTCTCCAAACTCCACCCTCCTCAGGCTCCACCCCCAAAATCCCCAAGTATTTCCCAGCCTGGAGCTGGCAACCCTAAGGAGCATGCCATGGGTTTTCTGTTCTATCTATATGGATATTCGTGTGGATGAAATGAATGAAACAGAATTATATTTAAAAAAACAAATTTATTGTGGAATCTCCATTAGAAGCGTAAATATTGCATTAAGTCAGCACCAGATGTATCTCCTTCCATCTCGGTAATTAGAGATGTCATATATAATCTTCTTGATCAACAAAGGCCCTGTCCATACGTGCCATTTGGGCCGGGAGAAGGACAGATCCGGGACGGAGCAAACGGGCGCGATCCCACAGCAACATCTGGGGAACGTCGTGCTACCGTTCCCGATCCGTCCCATCCCGCCCATGCAGCGCACCAAAAGTTAGTTTGCTCTGGAGCCATCCTTCCTGAGCTAAGACAAAAAGGTGAGAGCTGGAGGCTAAAGAACTGTGAGCTAGCTCACACTAACTCAGCTTCGAGGGAACACTGCTCTGGAGCCCTCCTTCCTGAGCTAAGATAAAATGTGTGAGCCAGCGGCTAAAAAACTGTGAGCTAGCTCACACTAACTCAGCTTCGAGGGAACACTGGTTTAGAGTGGAAGGAAGAATCAACCTCCCATCGTCCAACAAGTGCCATTTCGCTGGCTTAATGTTCCTGCAAGCATAACAGTACCTTAGAATCCAGTCCACTACGTTTAGTATAAATTGTGAATTGAGTAAATGTAAGAGAAATTTGATTTAACTGGCATTTATCTCCCAAGGAAACCTACTACATTCATTGTTCGCGTAATGGGAAATCGGCTCTAGTAAGCCACGTGTCCTAAAATCTCCTAGTGGTCTGATCAGCAATGCTTCTTGAACAGCACCGAACGGTATAAAAAGGCTATTTAGATATTTACACCTCACTTTTATCCGCAATGGGGACTGAAAGGAGCTTCCATCATCCTCCCCTTCTCCATTTTATCCTCACAACAACCCCGTGAGGTAGGTTATGCGGAGTACATGTGACTGGCCCAAGGTCACCCAGCGAGCTTCCATGGCGGAGTGGAGATTCGAACCTGGGTCTTCCAGATCCTAGTCTGATGCTTCAGCCATTATACCACACTGGCTCTTTCTGAAAATGCCAGTTAATGGAGTTACAGAAAGCAACGGAGCTAAATAAAGCAATAGTCCGTCTGTCGCACAGTGACAAAGAAGTGGTATAACTTTATTTAAATCCACAGTGCGGAATCCTGAATAATGGAACGGCAGCTCTGATTTAGGGGTCGGGAGGGTATAAGTTAAAATAGATGGAAATTAACCAGATGGGCAGGGCTGCCAACCCCCAGGGGGTGGCTGGAGATCGCCTGGGATTACAATTGATTCCCAGGCAACATACATCAGTTCCCCTGGAAAAAATGGCCGCTTTGGAAGGTGAACTCTGTGACATAATGCCCGGCAGAGGTCCCTCCCCTCTCCAAACCCTCATCTCCCCAGATTCTACTCCTCAAACCTCCAGGTATTTCCCAACTGGGAGCTGGCAACCCAAAGGGTGGGAGAGTTGTGCAGGTATGATTTGGGTTCATCCGGACCTGCTGGACCATGCCACTGGCTTCTGAGACCACCACAGCAGGTGTGATGGACAGATCTATCTTTTTTAAAGCATCAGTTAAAATCCAGAAGGGAGCCCATTAAAGCTGCCATTCAAAGACTTCCTCAGAAAAGTGGACATTCTGACACTCCTGTCGACATCCGGGGGATTTGCTCTTTCGGCTACAGGAACGTATTCTTGGTGGTTTCCCTGATCCAGCTTCTATCTTTCTCTTCCACTGGTCGATTTTCAAAGACACCATTGACTGTCTTGCTGGATCTAAAGAAAAGGAATATTGTTAAATATTAAAGAAGGCATTTAAAAAAAAAAAAATACTAGAATCATCGATGCAGGATTTCAGGTAGTCAGTTGCATTTAGTGAACTGCCCTCCAAGTGGTATCTTTGTCCACTGAAAAAAACGTTGGTTCTAATTTTTTCAGGGAGCCCGTGAGCCTCAAAAAAACAAGCGCGGCCACCGGGGTCCTTTCCTGCAGGAGCGCACAGGAGCGGAGCTCCAGCAGTAAAGAGCCCAGGGGCGGGCACATCCAACAAGCCCCGCCCCCTGCTCCCAGCAGCCCTCTGTCAGAGCAAGAAGCAGCCAGGTAAGTTGCAGAGCTCCCCCCGTCCCCCCACCCAGTCCAAAACAGTCCAGTGGCACCTTTAAGACCAAGTTTTATCCAGGTACAAGCTCTCCCTCCTCTACGAGGACAGATCTGCGTGTGTCCCCCCCACCCCGATAGCTAGCAATCCAGAACAGTCCAGTGGAGCCTGAGCGGTGGGCGTTGCCTTCTGACACACTTCCGGTGACGTCAGGGGGTGTGGCATATCAAATAAGTTAGGCTAATAGGTTATGCTAATGGGCTCCTGCACCTCTTTTTCTATGAAATGACCTCTGGCGGCTGCATGGGTGGAGTTGGGCTACTAAATATGTGCATGGCTTAAAGTACGACGTTTAGAAAAAACAGCTGTTCACTTAACAAAGGCTCCATCTGTATCACACATTAACTCCAAATGTGTAATTTACACCAGCAGCAGAGGAAGCTAGATTAATGCTGAGCACTCCACAATGCAGATTCCTGGCTGTGCTTGTTGGAGTGCCTGGACACTGGGAGGCGCTACATCACATCACTCTAAGGGTGTATAGGACGAGGTATTATCTTCTTGAATGGGATGCCTCTCTTTGTCTTAACCTGGGAGCTGCCCTCTGACCCCCCTCTCTCTCTCTTCCTTTGTCCTCTCCCTCTCTTCACATGGCCTTCCACAGAGATACACGTCTCTGCAGGTCTCTCCTGTAGAGACAATGCCCTCACACTCCCACACACATGATGCCGGATTAGCTGTCCATTTGGTTTTTGTTTGTTTGTTTTGTGATGGGGAAAGTCCTTTTTAGATTAAGGCTTCTCTCTCTCTCCTTTGGGCTGCAAGCTGAATGGGAACTGGATCTACTTGATTAAACGTAAGGCTGTGATCACGCACACTAAATAATCCACTTTAAATGCACTTTCCAACTGCCATTTACTAGTGTGAACTGGAAAAGTCCAATTGGAAAGTGGATTGAAAGTGGATTATTTAGTGTGTGTGATCACAGCCTAAATTTACCTTCTTCTTTTTTTGCAGTATACTTCTTGGGAGATTTATTTGACTGCACTCAGTATCAAACTTCTGTGCCTGGGCAAAATTCTGCTATTATTAACCAGATAGCCAAACAGTGCTTTCATTAGATGGAGTTCCCCAGTGTGGAAAAGGGGAGGATCTTTGCTTCTTGCATAGCTGTTTTTACCAATTCTCCGCAACTCACCGCTGGCTGGATGGAGACACTGCCGTGTCGTCCTGGAGATCTCTGTTCCGTGTCTCAGGCAGAAAGAAGCAGAGGATCCCCCCGGCCAACGCCATGCCTCCAAAGAGCACCATCGAAATTGCAGGGTGGATCTCGTCCAGAAGGCCGGCCAATGGGGCGAGGATGCCGCCGATTCTGGCCGACATGGAGCACAAACCTAAGCAGGTCTGCCTGACGGGGGAAGCAAAGGACAGAAAGGTGTGGCTGAGACTTGGCATCATGGCAGAGGAACAGAGAAGCTCTGTCACACACACACACACACACACTCCAAGAGGACATACTAGAAAAGAATATTCCTTGTATGGAATTGACGGGGGGGGGGGAAAATCAAACCTTCAACACACTTCATAAGAACAGTCCTGCTGGATCAGACCGGTGGTCCATCTAGTCCAGCATCCCGTCTCACACAGTGGCCAACCAGTTCTACTGGAGGGCCAACAGCAGGGAAGAGAGGCCGAGGCCTTCCTCTGATAAGGACATCAGAAGAGCCCTGCTGGATCAGACCAATGGTCCATCTAGTCCAGCATCCCACCTCACACAGTGGCCAACCAGTTCCTCCGGAGGGCCAGCAACAGGGCACAGAGGCCAAGGCCTTCCCCTGATAAGAACATCAGAAGAGCCCTGCTGGATCAGACCAATGGTCCATCTAGTCCAGCATCCCACCTCACACAGTGGCCAACCAGTTCCTCCGGAGGGCCAGCAACAGGGCACAGAGGCCAAGGCCTTCCCCTGATAAGAACATCAGAAGAGCCCTGCTGGATCAGACCAATTGTCCATCTAGTCCAGCATCCCACCTCACACAGTGGCCAACCAGTTCCTCCGGAGGGCCAGCAACAGGGCACAGAGGCCAAGGCCTTCCCCTGATAAGAACATCAGAAGAGCCCTGCTGGATCAGACCAATGGTCCATCTAGTCCAGCATCCCACCTCACACAGTGGCCAACCAGTTCCTCCGGAGGGCCAGCAACAGGGCACAGAGGCCAAGGCCTTCCCCTGATAAGAACATCAGAAGAGCCCTGCTGGATCAGACCAATGGTCCATTCAGCAGCATCCTGTCTCACACAGTGACCAATCAGTTCCTCTGGAGGGCCAACAAGAGGGCATAGAGGCTGAGGCCTTCCCCTGAGAACAACTTCAGAAGAGCCCTGCTGGGTCAGACCGGTGGTCCATCTAGTCCAGCATCCTGTCTCACACAGGGGCCAACCAGTTCCTCTGGGGGTCCAACAATGGCACAGAGGCCAAGGCCTTCCCCTGATAAGAGAACAGTCCTGCTGGATCAGACCCAGTAGTCCATCTAATCTAGCATCCCATCTCACACTGGAGGTCCAACAACAGGGCAGAGAGGCCGAGGCCTTCCCCTGATAAGAGCATCAGAAGAGCCCTGCTGGATCACACCAGTGGTCCATCTAGTCCAGCATCCTGTCTCACACAGTGGTCAATCAGTTCCCCTGGAGGGCCAACAACAGGGCATAGAGGCTGAGGCCTTCTCCTGATGTTGCCTGCTGGTTCTGGGATTCAGAGGATTAGTGCCTCTGAATGTGGAGGTTCCCCTCAGTCCCTATGGCTAGTAGACACTGATGGATTTATCTTCCATGAATCTAATACCCTTTTAAAGCTGTTTATTTTTGTGGCCATCACGACGTCCTCTGGCAGCGAATTCTGCATTTTAAGCACTCTCTGCGTCAAGCACTCCTTTTGTCCGTCCTGAACCCACTGCCCACAAGTGCTCCCTCTAAGCTGTGGAGGCTTGAGAGCAAAAATTCTACTTTGTGAGCTACTGGCATGAAAGTTGTAGGCAGGTGATTTGGCTGCTGCATAAATCAGTTTGCTCGGGAGCCCTCCTTCCTGAGTGAAGACAAAAATGTGTGTGCCGAAGTCCAAAAAACTGCGAGCTAGCTCACACTAGCTCAGAGGGAACACTGTAGCTCATCAGTTTCACTGGATGTCCCCAAGTTCTAGTATTTTGGGAGAGGGAGAACATTTTTGATGCATATTGCAGCGTTATTTATGCATGAGTAACTGGCTTTCGAGCGAGGGAAACCTTTACCTTTACCTAACATCTTGAAAGGCATTGTCCTCATCTTGGGCCATGTAAGAATTTTAGTTTAAACTGGTGCCCATGAATTGGGACTGGGCATGAACAGACAACCCATTATGATATTTCAACATTGCGTGATGTGCTGCCTGTAAGCCTTCCCTAGCTAGAAATTTTGCTGCTGCATCCTGGACTATTTAAAGCTTCAAAAAGTGCCTTCAGCAGAAGAGGCACATTCTCCTCCAGAGTAGACCGTCTCTCAATTCCACCTTCATTGCCAACAGAAACCAAGGGTATTGCACTCTTCTCTGTACTCAGCTTCCATTCGCTGGCCTTTGTCCAGCAGTGGAAGACTGGCCAGTTAGCAACTCTGTGTCCAGCCCATTATTCAGGCATATATCCTGGCCACCAGAAGGGAATTGGGGGGATATGCAAGGGGTCATTTCCTGTGGGAGCACACAGGAGTGGAGCTCCGGCAGTAAGGAGCCCAGGGGGTGGGCAACAAGCCCCACCCCCTGCTCCCAGCAGTCCTCAGTTGGGCCACGAGGAGCAAGAAGCAGCCAGGTCAGTTGCAGAGCTCCCCCGCCCGGCCCACCTTCAGGTACAAGCTCTCCCTCCTTTGTGAGGGCAGATCTGCACGTCCCTCCCCCCCAATAGCTAGCAATCCAAAACAGTCCAGTGGAACCTTTAAGACCAAGTTTTATTCAGGTACAAGCTCTCCCTCCTCTGTGAGGGCAGATCTGCACGTCCCCCCCCCCCAATAGCTAGCAATCCAAAACAGTCCAGTGGAACCTTTAAGACCAAGTTTTATTCAGGTACAAGCTCTCCCTCCTCTGTGAGGGCAGATCTGCATAGGGTTCCCAAGTCCGAGCGGCACTGGAGTGGGGGACTCCAGGGCCGCAACCACGTCACCCGGAAGTGACACGACCATGCTGGGCACACTGGGGGCAGGGCCACGACCATACGAGGGAAAACCGTAGAGTTTTCCCTCGGATGATTGTGGCCCTGCTCCCAGCGTGCCCGGTAGAGTTGCCAAGTCTGACTTACCTTGCTGGTGGGGGACTCCGGGGTAGCTCCCACCTGCCCTAGGCTCCACCTAGGGTTGCCAAGTGGCACTTACCTTGCCGGCGGGGGACTCCCGTGTGGATCCCGGGAGTTTTCCCATAGAGTTTTCCCTTGTATGGCCGTGGCCCCACCCCCAGCGTGCCCGGCGTCATGACGTCACTTCCCTGTGACGTGCACGCTGGGGTGGGGTTTCCCCTGGGGCCCAATTCCCCGCCCCCTGGGGGGACTTGGCAACCCTAGTGCCTGGCGTGGTCGCGTCACTTCCGGGTGACGTGCACGTCGCATGCTTTGGTGGTGGGGTTCCCCCCAGGGCCCAATTTGCTGCCGGCGGGGAACGGGCCTCTTGGGCGGGGGTTTCCCCGCCCCCCGGGGGGACTTGGCAAGCCTAGATCTGCACGTCCCTCCCCCCGATAGCTAGCAATCCAAAACAGTCCAGTGGAGCCGGATAGGTGTGTGTTTTGCTTTCTGACACACTTCTGGTGACGTCCGGGGGTGTGGCATATGCAAATACGTTATGCTAATAAGTTATGCTAATGAGCTCAGGCACCTCTTTTTCTGCAAAATGACCCCTGTATGGAATTTGCTAATGGATTTTGCTCCGCCTGGTCCTGATCCCTGCTGCCAATCAGCTGGCTGGCAGGGGGACTTACCAAAAGCAGGAAGGAGGCCCAAGCTACATCACCAGTAATGTGGTGACACTACTTCCAGCATGTACAGGAAATGACATCATCACCTCGGTGACACCGCAGCGACACTCTGGTGTAACCCCTTAGTTAGTGAACCAGTATTGGTATCTTTGGGAACGTTTTTCACAGCTGCTCTCTGTTGTATTTAAATCAGCTGGATTTACATTTTAAGTTTATGGATATTAGCCTAGACTTTGAACTGGCCCTTGGGACTCAAGGGGTTATACCGGTATTTGGGCAAAAATTCTATGGTAGAAACCATTTTTACCATAGAGCTTTTGCCCAAATACCAGAGCATCGCTGTGATGTCACAATGTGATGATTTCATTTCCAGTACACATCTGAAGTGATGTACCCAGGGGTCATTTTGTTAAAAAAAAAAAAAA